TTATTAGAATACAGAAGGCATTTAAAGCCACAGGATTGGCTAAACACACGTGAAGGATAACTACAGAAGATAAGAGGTCCAGAAACGAAGGCTGGGGTAACTCCACCTTTAGAGGCTGGAAGCTGAAGAATACCCAGCAAAGGAGAATACCACTAGCTCAGCCCAGATGGCAGGCCTCTTGAGAGCAGACACTGCTGTTCTGTCCTTTCATCTCCGGCATCTGGCTCAGCACCTCATGGTTTACAGCAGGTATTCAGTGAGTAAATTAAACTCTCCTCTGAAACCCAGTTAGAATACAGAGTTATTTCCTAGAAGTTCTCCTAGTAAAGCATAAGGCTCTAATAATTGAAATATTACCAACTCAGCAAGGACATCTTTTCAACCACCTGCAGCACACGCTGAATTTATTGTAAAACAGCACACCACTGCTACACAAGCCAATAAAAGACAGCACAGCAAGCCTTTGAAAGCAAGAGCCTATTGCCTGGAAAAGGAAACACTATGATATCCAAAGGCCAAGAATCAGAAAACATAGACTTTTCATCTTTGGTTGTTTTACAAAATAAGTAAACATGAAATATATGGCTGATTGTTCAGTTTGGGGGTTAGTCCCTATTATCAAAAGCAGCAACAGTAGGGAGGCTAAAGAGCACCACTTATCAGAAAGCAATAACAAGGTCATTGAGCACCTGTAAGAAACTCTAAAGCTCTTATAAGACACACTGAAACCACCCCCCCATATATATATACATATAATCTCCCTTCAGTCCCCCAAACATTTTATTCTGAGATAGGAAAACAGAATATGTAAATCTCTGGATCATTCTTAAAAGACTTCCACTGGCAAAATGACTAATCTCATAGAAACAGATGTGAATAATCCAACTGACTCACAGAATAATTCTGTTACCACAAAGGACATTTAGCTGAGCATAATGACTCTTTTATTCATGCCCTCAAAGATGTTTTGAGTAACTTTTTTTTTTACGTACATCTAAGTAGAGCTATTTCATGTTTAACAGGCACAAGATAGGAAAGAGAGAAAGAGGAAAAGTTCATGAAATCAAAAGAAGGGAAGGATGTTGTAGAAGTTAGTACTTACAGGAAAATTGAGTCAAACATTGATTTTAAAAAGAAAATCCATGGTCAAGTGAAAAGAAATGTTTCCTCCAAAATTAACAGAAACCTCCATACTTCCTAGAAACTGGAGCTGAAATGTGATTCTGTATGAGACACTGAATTACTTAAAGAGTCAAATTTCTACCTTTTACGGACTATGTACTGTGCTATTCATTATTTATTAGTATGTTAGGGAAAGATTATGCATATAATTTGGAAGACAAATAATAAGCATAGTACTAATACTCTGTTTAGATATCACTATTCTTAATTCACAATGAATATGTTTTAATAAAATTCTTGAGTTCTTATTCATCACTTATTATTGTCATAGCATGAATGCTGTTATAGTTCCTTTAAAGTGCCTTACACAGTTCCTGGAACATCACAAGAGTTTGAAAAATATTTGATGGGCAAATGGATAATTCTACCAAGAGACTTATATGAAAAATCACTAGAGAATAGGTACTGTAGTAGATAGATGTCAACTTTGCCTATCTGGCATCTGAATGCCCTTCTGATTGAGGTAGAAAAATCCAAAATACATGAGATGTAGGAACCTGAAAAGAATTCAAAAACTGAAGAGTAGATATTTTCTTTCTCTATTCCCTGAAAGCAAGAACATGGGAAAATGACACAAACCTGGAGTTTTAAATCTTTCAGAGAAGCAAAAGGTACAAGGTCTAACCAAGATTGTTACCAACAGATAAAGAACCAAGAATTCAAAGGCATGACTACAAACGTCTGAAGGCCATGAAGTCCAGCAGCTTGCTAGTGACTAACTAATGATCAATATCAGAAGCATATTATTCATAAAGTGAAATACAGAAATCTTGGCTGTGCCTTGCTTCCATCAATACTGCCAAGGCTTAATACCTCAATCTTGTCAATTCTGTAAGCTACACAGTATTTATTATTCTTTTATCAAATTTCTATCCTATTTAAGTTGGCCAAAGTTGATTTCTGTTGTTTGTATTAAGAAATTGGTATGAGGGAGTGGATTATAGGCAAGAGACCCTCAGGTGATTAAGGGCAACTTGGAACTGGCTTCTGGCCTAGAAAGGGCTACTAGTGTTCATGGGAAGACCTTCTGCAAGTCTTTGACATGGAGTAGTAAAATAACTAATCATCATCTGTGGTCATGTGCATGTGACTGATAAAGTGCTGCCAAGAATGAAGGGCATAAAGAATTTAAGACTACGAGGCACAGCACCTGCCATTCCATGGGTACAAGATAGTTTAAATAAAAGAAATTAAGGTCAAAATCCTATATATTAGGCCTAAGGCACAGACTAAAACCTGGGTAGTATTAAGAAAAGGATCCTTTTTCTCTTATAACAGAGTTGAAGCAGTCATAAAAAAAAATGCACAAGGTCTGATGCTCCAAGTTACTGATTCAAATCAGTTAAATCCACATTGAGACTCTTATATGAAAGTTGGAACATTGAGCATTAGTTAGAAAAGAGAAAAGAGAGAGAACTGAAATGGAGGTACATAGGAAGATTATTACTTGGGAGTACCCTGAATCCTCATTTAGGTCTTTTTGCTAGCAGGGTAGCCACCCTCTTTTGTCTGATGAAGCTGTACCTCTCTTGCTTGAAAAAGCAGTAAAATTCCCTGTGTGAAGGAATTCCATTGCAAAAGTAAACTAATTCCCTATTTGCTTCACTGTTCCTCACATATATTCTGCTTCCCTAACATCAGATAACAGCATGTTCTATGGGCTTAATTATAAAAACACCAAAAGAATTACAAGACATTGGCTATTTATATGGTCAAACACACTGGAAATAAGTACAGAAGTAGATTCTGAGTGATGTAGACTAGCAAGGAAAAGCAATTTTAGTTCTACCTGTTTGTTGAGATTCTGAATGCAAAAGTTGTTTTCAGTAGCTGAGGTATTAGATGATCAAAATCAGACTCCATGATGTTCTATGCTAAAGGAAGTTGAGATACCTATTATAATTTAGATCCAGAATGTTCCCCAAAGACTCATGTGTTAAAGGCTTGGTCTCCAGCTGGTGGTACTACTGAGAAGTGATAGACACTTTAGAAGGTGAGGCCTAGTTGGAGAAGTAGGTCTCTGGGAGAGTGTCCTTGAAGGGTATATTTTGTATCTGTCCCCTTCCTCTAATTCTTTGCTTCCCAGCACCATGAAGTGAGTGGTTTTGTTCCATCTGCTGTTATGTTCTGCTTCACCAGAGGAGCTCCAGACACAATGTAAAATAAATATTTTCATCCTAACTATTTTCTCACAGCAACAGAAAGCTAATTAATACACTGCCTAAGCCTCATTCTTAATTCTGCCTAATAATTCTTTCAGGTTACTAATTAATATCCAATATCCTTTCAATAAAATTTTCTCTAGATTAAAGTTAATCAAACGTGGTTTCTATGACTTGCATTCAAGAACACCAACTAGTATAGAGGCATAAATGCACTTCATGATAATTACACTATCAGGAACGAAAACAATTCTCTTTTTATATCTTTATTATAACAGACTGGAAGTTAAAAAACTATAAGGATTAATGCTCAAAGCCAGAATACTATTTCTTCCATTAATATCTTAGGATGAACCAAATTCAACTATAGATGTTAGACCATTTTTTAACCTAATTTTTTTCACATGGTTTAATATGTTGACATTGCATTGAAAGATACAGTAATGCAGGACAACTGCATTCCGCGGTTTCCCTATTGTATTACATTCCTTTTTATCCATACATATTTCCTAGTGCATGGCTGTGCTATTAATCTTTAAAAGTTTCCTTTAAGATTTTTACTTAATTTGTCTAATTCTTTTCAATGTTTAGACTTTAAAACACTATTAATAATATCACAAAATCTTTTTACACAGAACTGGCTGAGCCTTACAGAAATATCAATCCCCTTAAAATCTCTATAAATAAAATATTTTTATTCAACATATCTGTTTGGGGAACAAACAGTTATGTTGAATAAAAATGAATGAGAATCATAGATGTTTGTAGCCAGAAGGTCCAATTAATTTGACTCATATTCAGCCCTAAATTCTATACAGTTAGTCTGAAACTCCTCTTGTCAAATAGGTATTCATATTAAAGTCATTAAGAAAAGTAAGTAACTTTTTTAATAACCGATTTTTGTTACCAAGACCTAGAAACTTAATTTTGAAGATATTTTTTCCTAGATATTTGCTTATATCACATCTGCTATACTGTCTTTTACCTGAACAGAGTATTAAAAGTAGTTCTTCACCAAACAATAGATATCAGCTCTTTATATACTTGACAGTATTTACTAATGTAGCCCTGAGCATTTCTTTTCATTTCTCTTCAACCATCCTAATTCCTTTAATATTTCCTTAAGAGTCTATTTTCCAGTGCTTTTCTCATATTCCATGAAGCTACTATACATCTGCCAAATCTTCTAAACTTCGTAACTTAGTATATCCTACAAACAAATGAAATATAAATGAAGAAATCAATTTTGGTGTAGGTGAAAATGTGCCCCTGTATTAAACGAACTGATGCAGAGGAATAAAGGCATGCAGGGTAATTATACCATCAGGGACAGAAAACAATTCTCTATGTATTTCTTCTTCTTATAACAGACTGGAAGTATGGAGTAGGAACCAATGAATTTGTCAAATGCTTACCCAATCATCCTTATCACATATGCAAGGCTAAAACAAATATACTGTACAAATGAGATAAAACTGGTTTGCTTTTATGTTTCTTCCTCTTTAAAAAAACAAAAAACAACAACAACAAAAAATATCACTGCAGTACTTTAAGAAGAAGTCAATCACAAATTATCTGATTTTGCCCTAAAACAATAGTTCTTAAGTTGCTCAACCTCTTAAGTGTTTTGCTATCCTGATTAGAGCCCCTTTTTACCTGAATGGCACTTCTTCCTGTGGAACATCCACATAATAGCGAATAAAAAATCTCTCAGAGTCTTCTCGTTCACCATCAGTAACAACACTGCCATTAAGTTTGGAAACTGATGGCAATCTGTAAGTGAAAACCAAAAAGACATTTTAAAACACTAAAAACATTTAGCTTTAGAAATAAAATAATTGGTATGAGGCCCAGTCTCATTCTTTTAAAAGGACACATTTGGTGTAGTTTTGCTTGTATGTAAATACCAACATAAACTAAAGTCATAAAAAAGGGCCAAAAAATCTAGTCTGATTTTTGGATGAGATATTAACCTTTCATAATCCTACCTCATCTTTCAAGTAAGACTTTAGGGAACACTGTCCAATTTAAACCACATATGTCATTTTCAATTCTCTAGTAGCCACATTTTTTTAAGTAAAGATAAAATAGGTGTAATTAATTTTAATAGTATATTTTATTGATCCAACATATCCAGAATACAATCACTTCAACATGTACTCAAGGTTACAAAATAATTAATGAGCTATTTTATATTCTTTTATTCATATAAATTATTTGAAATCCAGTATCTATTTTACACCCATAACACTCTTTGTGTTAATATGGCAGCCACTTGCCAAGTGTGTCTGTGAACACTTGAAACATGTCTGTCTGAATTTTACACCTATAGGTGTAAAATTTTACACCATATTAAATAGTACTGGTCTGGAGAAGAGTTAGTACAATATGGCTATATAATTCAGGAATTAATTTATTATATTTTCAAAAGATTGCATAAAGAAAATAAAGCATAGAGTCTTCTTCAAGACTTGCTCCTCTTTAAAGAAAAATACGCTGACATTTCTTTCTTCAGAAGATACTAATATGTATGTTAAAAACTGTAAAGCAGGAGGTTCTGTGGGGCATTAGTCGGTCAGAAAGATCAATATCCTGTTTAAAGAACCACTCTTCTTTAGGGAACCTTAAAGCCTACTGTTTCTCTTTCAAAACTACCATGTGCAGTGCACAAAGAGAATAAAGCAAAGCTCCATGGTCCCTTCCATTTCAGCCAAAATTTTATTTCTTCTGAAGGTTCATAAAAAAAATACACACTTGTGGGAAATTCCAGTAGTCTTTGAGGCAGTGTCTGAGACAAGAAATGCAGGGGAGTCAGAGGAAGAAGATAATAATGATGGTAATCATACTTACGTAAATATATATTCAAGAAGAAAATACAGCTGCTGCTGAATAGCTCAATTTCCAGGTATTTGCACTTTAAGTAACCACTAGGTTAACAGAGAAAATGAGGACAACTATAATAGAAATGATTCCCCATCATACAGACTTTTACTTTGTGACCCAAAAGAGGACTTCAAATATTCTAGTATTGAAAAGCATAAAAAATAGAAAGATTTGTGAGGAAATTTTTCAGTGGCCTCAGCAGGATAACTGCATTCCGTGGTTTCTCCATTGTATTACATTCCTTTTTATCCAAGACTGGAAGCTACAGAAGCAGCTCCTTTAGGCACAGTCTGCTCAAGAGACGGATAAATTCACAAGGCACTATCCCCAATTAGTGCACCATCTCTTTAATGAAACAATAAGGCCCTGTGAAAAGAAGGCAAAAGAAATCAGGACAACAGACCTGGCTATTACCAATTTCCTGCGCTCCTCGGTGGTATATGGCTGCAGAAGAGGAATTCCTAACAATCTCACTTCTTCAAGTTTGGGGAATGAATTTAGTTTGTCTATGTCTTCCCAAGACTGCAAACCTAATTCAAGAAAGATATTGTTTAAGTTAATCCAGAAAAGAACACAAATAAGAAGATAAACATAAAAAGAAAGCATTTCTATTAATAATTTATGAAATGTTAAGAACATCATAAATTGGAGAGCCTGCAATTTTTCCCTATCCAATACAGTAAGATACCATAAAAACTTCCCCAGTCTTTGTGATCTCAGTGGTCAAGGACTGACAGCCCTGTTCTTCAACATCCTTTTGTCTTCTGATTCTATCAAAATGGCTTATATAATCAGGGTCACAGGTAATTTCAATAAACAGGATGCCATGATTACATAATTTTTTTAAAAAAAGTGACATTACCAACTCATTTTACTTTACAGATTCATGGATCAGAAGTAATGTTGTCATTCTTACATTTTTACCTGAAAAATTCTGAAAATGGGATAAGGTCAAAAAAAAAAGGAAACTAAAGGGGAAATAGATACAACACATTATTAAACAAACAAACAAACAAAAAAAGCAAGAAACCTGAATCTGTGAATATGGAGAACATGCAACACATTAAGATTTTTTTAGCCCTAAAATGAAACTGCCTCTTTCATTGAGAGCAAATGTATCATCCAAGATAATATTTGATTTCCAAGTCAGGCAGGACTTCCAAATAGAAAAAATATTCCTGTGATAATGAAGTGGTCAATTTTACAATATAGGATAATCATTTCAGAGAACAAAAAAGTCCCTTCCTATTTCTGATGACCATCTGTAAAGGTAAAGACAGAGGAATAACTTAGGAGGACTCTGGAACAAACTATCCCAAGTCACAACTGTCCTCTTCACTGATAATGGCATTTCCACCCAGAAGGAAGAATAGAGTTAGAGCAAGGTGTGTCGAACTGTAAAGTGAATAGCTTCCTTGTACAAAATACTGGCCATTCAAATTTATTTCCTATCCAGTACCTACATGGTGAATTGAAATAAGTTTGTGGGTTGTTTTTTTTTTTTTTTGTTCTTGTTGTTGTGTTATAGGTTACTTGTTTAATAAATAGGATGAAAAATAATGTCATAAGAATAAGAAGAGAAGTCAGATTGGGAGGACTTTTTTTTCTTTTTTCAAAAGACACTTCCGATAAAGGACTGCTAGGCAAAATATATAAAGAACTCAACAATAAGAAAATGAAAAACCCAACTAAAAATGCATAAAATACCTAAAAAGATGACAAGTAAGAATATGAAAATATGTTCACTATCATGTTATTAAAAGGATTTCAAATTAAAACAATGAGATACCACAGTACACCTGTTACAATGGTCAAAATTCAGAACACTGACAATACCAAACATTGGCAAGATATACAGCAACAGGAACTCTCATTCATTGCCAGAGGGAATACAAAATGACATAGCCACTTTGGAAGACAGTTTGGCAGGGTTTTTTTAGAACTAAATGTACTCTTACCATATGATCCAGCAATCATGCCCTTAGTATTTACCCAAACAAGTAGAAAACTTATGTCACACAAAAACCTGCACATACATACTTAGAGCAGCTTTCCTTTAACTGTCAAAACTCAAAAGTAACCAAGATATCCTTCAGAAGATGATAGATAAACTGAGGTACATCAGAAAATAGAGTATTGTTCAACAATAAAAAGAAATGAGCTATCAAGTCATGAAAACACATGAAGGATTTAAATGCATATTACTAAGTCCAAGAAGTTAATCTAAAAAGGCTACTACTGCATGATTACAAATATATGACCCTTTAGAAATGGCAAAATGCTGGAGATAGTAAAAAGATCAATTTTCCAGTTAGGGGTTATAAATAGAGCAGAGGGAATTTAAGGCAGTGAAACTGTTCAGTAAAATACACAATGGTAGATATGTGTTATTATACATTTGTATAATAATATACACCAAGAGTGAACCCTAATGCCAACTATGGATTTAGATAATGATGTATCAGTGTAAGTTCACGGACTGAAATACTACAAATTAATACTTTGGTGTTTGATGTTGATAGTGAGGAAGATTGTGAGTATGTGAGAACTCTGTAATTTTCTATCAATTTTGCTGTAAATCTAAAATTGTTCATAAAAATTAAGTCTATTAATTAAAAAAGAAATAGGCTAGGGCTGCGGTTGTAGTGCAGTGGAGGAGCACCTGTCTAGCATTCGTGAGGCACTGGGTTCGGTCCTCAGCCCCACATAAAAGTAAATAAATAAAATAAAGGTATTGCGTCCATCTACAACTAAAAAATATTTTTTAAAAAAGACATAGGCTAAATATATCCATTTCTATAATACATAGGATCCAATAGTAATACACTGACAATTACAGATCATAAGGAAGGGAGCATTTGAAAAGGCATAGTAGGTAAAATTCCATACCCTAAGCCCAAATAAATGATCTAGTTTATAATTCTTTTTACTCAGTCTTTTACTAACCAATTCATCAATTTTATTTAACCCCTTTCATAGCATGACCTCTTTAATGTATAAAATATAAATTACTAATATAATGCTAGGCCACTTAATATTTACCAGAACATTTATGAAAATGAATGTCTTAAATTTAGTCAATCAACAGGCAACCTGCATGTCATGTTGAAAATTCATCCTATAAAAAGGTAGAGCTATGACTGAAAAAAATACACTTTCATTGCATTTTATGCATAAGCTCAGATCAATTTGCATATAGAATGAGAACAAGCCTGTACCTCACCTGACTTGTGGAGGCTGATGGATCGCAGATTAGGAAACAACCTGGCCAATGAATCATCGGGCTCCTCAATAGCATTCAAATGATTGTTGGCCAGGACAAGGGTATCCAGTGATGGAAACATCACTCCCAATTTGCGTATTTCAGTCCAGTCTTGGAGGTTATTGTCTGTTATATGTAGGAGCTTAAGAGAATGACAGCAAATAGAAGAACAAGACACTGTTTCATAGTCATTAAGGCACAGGAAGAGCTCCTCCAAACTGCAAAGAGAAAAGGAAATATTTCATTGTTTAAAGCAATTTCATTTCTACCTAATGCCTATTTTTATTCATTCAATAAATAAATGAGTGCCTAGTACATGTGATACTCTGGTAGTTATAATAGAGAAAATACAAAGATGTCTTCTTGAAGCTCAATACCCTGTATAGCTAGGAAGACAAAACCTAAAATATGTAAAACAGAATGATATAAGTTAGTACCAAGTTAATTTTGTGCTTAAAAAATTAAATGCTAAATTAAGCAGCACTAATTGCATAGAGATTGATACAGAAATGAAGTTGAAATTTTAGTTGGAATAACCAGGGAAGAATGTATGGCCTTGAAAGAGAGGTGGACTTGTATAAGTTTAGAGGAGATAAAAGGAAATTCCAAAAACAACATAAAAATATTTAAAATTGAAAATGATAACAACTATTGAATCTCTGTCCTGTATCAGGCCCTGTATCAGGAACATTATAGATTTTATTTCATTTCTGTTTCTGTAAGGTAAAAATAATTATGCCCACTTTACAGACCAGGAAACTGAGCTCAACAAAGTTAAGTAGCCTATCAAAGGTCACCTGATTATTAAGTGGAATGGGATTTAAAAGCTCATTCAGTACCATGCTGGAAGATGGATGCAGTGAGGAAACCAATCTCATTAGAATGACAATGACAAAATAAAACACAGTAAGTAGTATGAGATTCTGAAGGGCTTTGATAATTTCCATATTTAGCCAAAGAAACTGTATTTCTTTAGACTACATCTTTTGCAAACTTATAAGCATAAACAAAGATAGACACAAACAAAAAATAAAACATTTCTAAACTGACAAACAAAAGTATAATTTCTTTCTTAAATTTTTGAAAAGAATAGCAGGTCAATTTCTCATCATTTAATCATCTAAATGCTAATGTATTTTCTATGGTTTTCTTTTTCCTCCCAACAAAAAGGACTAAGGCAAAAATTTTTAAATCGGGTAATCAGAAGATTAAAATGGAGAAAGGCTGAGCTGATTTAGAAGTGATAAGTGCTTCTCAGGGGTATTTTCTAGCCAAAGGATGACATATCCCATGTCTTGGTGCTATTCAACACTGAACAAGTATTCAACTGGAAATGCTACCAGATTACCCTCACACCCTTTTCTAATTACTTAATTTTTCTAACCTCTTTCTCCATTCAATCTACAGATCTAGTATTTCTGAGACAGGAGATCAGCAGTAATTCTATGTACTAACACAGATGGAAACATAGCTCCCTGTCCACCATGCTCTCAGGTCTTACTCTGGTAACTCCTGTAGGATTGTGTGGACTGTCTCCCATGAAGCTTTGCTGTTGTTGAGGACAAGTTTGCGAACCCCAGAGAAGGACCCAGCACATGTTCTTTCTAAAACTGACAAATTCAGAGGGTTGGAACTCAGGTTTAGAAACTCCAACTGGGGAACATTTGACACAATTTTACTGACCTAGAGAAAGAGAAAAAAAGAAAGGCATATCAGGTGGTAATCAGAGCTTTTAAACAGCAATCACACTCAAGAAGGCCTAAATGAGAGGGTCCCCAGGCAAAGGGCCATTTACCTCAGGGATCCTACTTAGTGATGGTACCCACAGATCAGCATAAGTGATTTCAACAAATCTTGGCAAACAATTTAATCTCATCCTATGAAATAGTAGCCTACACACACAATGGCACAAAACAAAGATTTCCTATGTCGCCATTAGCAAGGTCTCTGACTCTGTTCTATAATGATGTACTCTTTGAGAAAAAGATAAAAAGATAGTTTAGATGACATTCTAGGCCATAAATTTTTAAAGAGTTGAGAATGGATCATGCAATTGTCTTTGAATATTTTCTTTCATTCTCAGCACAACATTAAGGGTAATTAAAGGTTTCTTTTAAACCACCTGGTAACAATTCCTGTGTTCAAAATTGACTGCACAGTCACAATCACTTAGAAAAGTTTCATTTTGGCTGAAAGATGTACCAAACTGTACTTAAAAGTCAAAAGAATCCATAACTGTATAGTAAAAGAGAAAGCACAGTCATCACTGTAATGATTTAGCTAGCGACCTGGTAGCTAAGAAGGGGAAAAAAGCAAATGACTGAACATAACTTTTTGCTCCTCACAATATTAATATCTTTGATATGGTTTATTTCATAATATTCTCAGAAGAACTTACAAGACTACTTTCATTCTAATAAATGAGGAAACAGAGGCTCATAGACATTAAATAACTTGACTAAGTCCCAAATATCATATTTGGAATTCAAAAATCAGAAACAATATTTTTTCCATAGACCACAACTAATATACCACAAATAAAACCAGAAAAAAAATGATCCGACAATTGAAGAGTAGGTGGCACAATCAATGCAAAGGACTGGCTTAAACAAGCAGGAAATAAATGTTAAATGCCCAGTAAGTGTATTAAGCATTAAACAGCCAGGCAGCGTGGATCTAAAAGTTATGAAAAAGGGAATAGAAAACAGTAGTTAGGATTAGTTTTTTGTTTGTTTGTTTTAATATTTATTTTTTAGTTGTAGTTGGACACAATACCTTTATTTTATTCATATATTTTTATGTGGTGCTGAGGATCGAACCTAGGGTCTTGCATGTGCAAGGCGAGCGCTCGCTCTACTGCTGAGCCACCAGCTACCAACAATTCCTAGCTGTGTGATTTCAGATAAATTACTTAACCTTTCCAAATCTGTTTCCTCATTCATAAAATGAGGAAAACAGTACCCATCTATGTTATAGAATACTGATAACATTAAATGAGATACATGTGTCATGTACTCAGCACAGCAATTGGCATATCTTTTTGAAACTAAATCACATGCAAATTGTATAAAAGCAGAGACAGCAAGGCACTTAACATTTACCAAATAAACTAGTAACACAAAATCATTCAATAAATGTAACTAATACTAATAGCACCTAACATTTACCAAATAAACTAGTAACACAAAATCATTCAATAAATGTAACTAATACTAATATGATAAGAATAGTATGAACCAGTATCTCAACCTTGTTGAGCCATCAGAATCATTGGTAGAATTTTTAAAATACACAGATTCCCAGTTTCCACCATGAACACTGAATAAGAAGGTTCACAGAGGGGACCAGCTGCAGGGTTGGAACCTGAATATGTTTCTTTTCAGAACTCATGGAGGTAATACTAAAAGTATATAAAAAGTAGAGAACCATGGGAGAAAGAAAAAATAATTTGTACTTTACAATAGATCAACTGTGTATTTTCAAGGAGCTCTAAAATCAGTGAGAGTAGATTAACTCCAAGAAAATTCAGAGAAGTCAGAGGGAAAGTTCCTCATGAATTTCACTATTTCATCTATTCCCCACAGTAACCCTTTGAAGTGAGTGCCACTTTTGTTCTCATTTTTCAAACAAAGAAATGAGCTGCCTTTTAGAGAAAATACACTAGGCTTCTGTTTAAAGTGTAAGGAATTTATACCAACCACACATATTTTCTTGTTTGGTCCCTTTTGTAATCAAATGGTACCAAACATCTGTGCAACAGATGGCCAGAATTTGGAGTTTAGTCTGTGACTATAACACAGTTAAAAAGTTCATTCAGGGACCAACCCTTTACTATATTCTATGACTTCAATATTAACAATATGAAAGATTTTCATAAAAAAGATGATGGCCGGCCATACTTCTTTTAAAGCTAAAAAAGTAAAAATTGCTTTAAAGCATTTAAAACATGAAGAAAACCCACTAATTATAGTACAAATCTAGTTAAATAGAAATAAAACATAAGCCCTACGCTAAACATCTCCATATAATATTTTATTTTTTAACAAAGAGGAAAATAGTAAAAAAAAATGGATAACTTAAGGGTTTTAAAGCAATTTCTAGGGGAGGTTTCCCAAAACTAATAGATATGTGATACAATCTTCACAGTCTGTCTACACTACTGCACAGTGAGAACGCAGATTTAGGATAATGACTTGTATATCCTAAAAATATAAAATTGGACTAGGATCTCATAATTCAAGCAGGAAAATAATGTATGATAGAAATAAATATCTTCTCTTTAAAGGGCAGAAATGAAAAAGTTCTTTGGGGTTACCTCAAATCAATGATAAGATTCAGGAAACTATAATATTCACCACATAGATAAATGTACTATGATGGAAAATTTCCTAGTAGCAAAGGCTGACAAACATTTTGTTGAGTTTCTAGAGCAGTATATTAACTTCCCTTTTTTAAATTCTAAAAATAAAAATGATTCCTCCAGTTGGAATAAGGTGAGTCTGCTTATTTGCAGAAACATGGAAATGAACTTAGATCACCCCTTAATCCTCCACAGTCCCGTGACTTAATAGGGGATCCTCCACTGTGGCATATAAAAAGGAAGAAACTAAAGATTTAAGAAAAATGAAGAAAGGGCTTTAAGATAACAATCTGTAATTTATACCCAAGCTATTCACTACTTCACCTGACTAGCTAATCCCTCCCTCCTCTTAACTATTTGGTTTAATTTCTTTTATAAAATGGTTTTGATAAGGAAAAGAAAAAAAAAAGGAGATACCTTGGGAAATGTCAGACAAAATTCTAGTCAGTCCAAAATTAAAGTCAATCACTAAAAATGCATTTTTTATATACCTAAGTGCCCAATTTTAGAAGGGTGGTGGCAAATCTTTTCTTCCTCCAAAAGTATTACATTTCTCACTTGTTTTCACTTTAGCCTTTGGATCTATAGCAGCCAACAGTTTAAACTACAAAAGAAGTTACTCGTAACATTAGTGACCATTCAGAAACTGAAAGAACCTACTATATTATTTTGTTCCACATTGCTCTATCAATACTGGCTGAGGTGAACTTAGTTAATGGCTAGGGACAAATGATCTTTCTGGTAATCAGACATATAGATTGTAATGGGGTTGAAATGTAATGTCTTAAAAACAGTGACCTATGAGGTCTCTGTAGCCTGGCAAAGAGTTTAATCAAGGCTAAAAATCAATACTCCTTTACTCTCAGTATTTCTTCCATCTCTTTGATCTCTACATACTCTAAAGATTGGGATCAACTACAGTTAAAAATAAGGAGGAAATATAAAGGAATAATGAAAACAAAAATAAACTGGAAAATGGAAAGTTTGAAAACAGCAGCAACCAACATCACTTAAAAATTGCCTAAAGATGGACTACTGAGCACATATAGGAATGTAAAAACTGAGTGCCAAGTACAAATAAATAGCTGAGCCTCTGGCTATAGATCAATGTGACCTGAGGAATATTTAATACAGATTTTTATCTAAGCAAAGGAAAGGCTGAATTACTTAGTATAAGCTCTAATCCATATTATATACATCTTCCTTCTGAAGTGGCAACTATACCATTATTAAACTGTTCTTACTAGTGAGCAAAAGCTCATGTACATAATCACAGTGCAGGCCAAAACACAAAGCACAAAGCCTGTGAAATTTTACTCCCAAAGAAACAAGTTTAGAGATTCGGCAAGGACCATAGCAGCTGAACTGATTCACAAGAAGATTTGGTCTGACTTGTCACCAACACAGACCACAAATCTTACCAGTACAGAACTTAGGAGAATCACAGAGGAGGATTAACAAGCTCATTCTTATTGTATTTTGTGCAGTGTGGACAGAGCTTGCATGGCAATTTGGTATCTCAAAGGACCCAGAAGGCACAGATAACAATTAGTCCAATAGTGAACTATACTAGTTGTTTAGATAAGTGTGTAAATAAAAGCACAAACAGGGATTTTTTTTCGAACAAATAAATGTACAACTGGAAAAAAATTCTTAGAATAGTCCTATAATCTGCTTATATTAATAAATCACTTAGAAGTCAGGTGAAACATACCCAAAGAATTTTAGTAAAAATCTAATAAAAGCAGAAAATATAACCAAGAGTAGTTACTAGATTAACAAGATTATGAAATAGACTGAACAAACTAGGTTATAGACAGATTTTTTGCTTAAACAAGAAAGCCATCTTAGGATTTGTATAGCATTCAATATTTACAAAGTGCTTCAATTATTAATCTTATCAGCAAGTCTGGTTGAGCAGACTGAGCATTAACATTTTAGGGGAATTTCTCGAGATTACAGGAAAAGTTAGAGCAAGTGGTTTTGATCAATCCTTAAGATATAATCATTTATTCATTAACACATTCAACAAACTTTTTGGCCACCTAGTATGCTGGGTGCTGACAATAAAAAAGATAAAAACCTCCACTTGAAATAAGCTCACAGTCTAGTAGGAAAACAGGTAAGCAAGTAATTACTCTATGCTGTGATAAATCCTTTCACAGCAGTATGGTAAAGTGCTCTGGAATCATAGGACTGTAGCTGAGAGAAACCACGGAAAATTTCCTCAGAGAAACAGCAACTTGGGTCAAGTCTTGAAGGAAAAATAGAAGTGGCCAAGGAGACAAGAGGTAAAAGAGCACAGTCAGTTCAGAAGGAATAGAAGCAAGGAAGTTTTTCACGTCATGAACTTATCATGGGCTGTAAAAAGTATATGGCTAAAATGGGGATAAATTTTCAAACACTGCAAAGGGCCATATGATGAAGGGCCATGCTGAATGAGTTCAGACCCTGTGGTTTCAAAGCATCAAAAAGCTTTTTGGGACTTCATACAATAGTGTCATATCATTATTCATATACTGAAAGGAGTCTGTGGTGGCACTATGGAAAAATAGAGCATACAACCAGACCCAGGAAAACCCATTAGCAAACTTCTCCAGTAGTCAAAGCAAAATACAAGAGCCTAAATTAAAGCAGGAAAATGAACTAAATAGGAAGAATTGTTTTTCCCTTATTCTTCAAGGTACCCTCATCAGGAATATTACAATTAGGTGAGTGATGTTATCTACAATAATAAGACAATGTTATCTATTATTTGTGTACTTAATTTAGAATCACTCTGAGGTCTAAAGACATGTTGTATTAAACTGTCAGAGGATCATGATAATATAACAGAAGTTCTAAAATATTTAAAATAAATTTCAATAACAAGAATTAATATTTTATAATATTGATTTCAATTTTTTTCCCCCGAGGTAGTGGGAATTAAACCCAGGGGCACTCTACCATGGAGCTTCATCCCCAGCTCTTTTAATTTATTTATTTACCTTTTTTTTTTTTTTTTGTACCAGAGATTGAACTGAGGGCACTTAACCACGGAGATATATCCCAGTCCTTTTTACATTTTATTTTGAGATAGGGTCCCACTATGTTGCTAAGGGTCTCACTAAGTTATCAAGGCTGGCCTTGAACTTGTGATCTTCCTGCTTAGGCAACTGAGTTGGTGGACTTACAGGCACATGTCACCAATACCCAGCTCAAGTTCTAGCAATTTTATGTCAATTTATAGTAACGAAAATTGAAGTAGAAGTAGAGAATAAGTGTAGGATGTGTAAACTAGGGAAACAAAAATTTAATGCATTGTAAGCAGTATAGATCTCTGTAGACTCACTAACCTCTTGATGCCTGGAATAAAAAGTTCCTCAGTGCTTTTCACATTGATGAAAAAAAAGTTAGCAGTAACAAAACTAACTGTGAAATCATCATAAGTAGTTAATACAGTCAATTATTTATCTTGAAACATATAGACAAGAATCCCAGTGAGAACCAGAATTCAGCAGAACACATTACAACATAAATAATAATACAACAGCTATTACTGCCAAAACTCAGCATTATAAAAATTTTACCTCATGCCAGTCTTCGAGTTTGTTGTCAGAAAGATCTAGTTCCGACACATGAGCACAGAAGGCAGCAATTTCTCTTTCATCTCCTGCACAGGTTATTCCACAGCTGTTCAACACTAGTACACTTGGGAGGTTGAGGCGATCTGAATCACAGGGGACACAAAACACTTTCTACATCAGCCTAACTCTTGTCTACATATGTTCAGCTCTCAGGAACCATCAAGAAACAAAAATCAAACTGTGTGAAATTACAAAAGGACCCAGAAAATACAGGATGTTAACAGGCTCCAAGGATCCTGAATGCTAAGGGGAGGTAGCTAACTATGGCCCAGGAGAAATTCAAAAGCACAGAACCAGTACCTCCAAAATTCTTCCAGGCATTAACTCTGGTAGGGCTCTTCATCCTAATTACCACAACAGAGCCAACATCCACACTATTATCTTATCATCTGAACACCAGATGAAATCATGCCTGGACTGTCACCACCTTCTTGTTGGCCTTAATTCTTTTCTCCCATGAATTTAGTCCAAAAGTATTCAGGGTAACTCTGACTGATGTGAATCTTTACCTTTTGCTGCCTGTAAAAATTACCTCAAACTGTTAGATAATCAACCTACTAAACAACTTCTTTCTTCAAGTTCATATCACTGAAGAAATCTTCCTCACTTAAGCAGATCCTTTCAAAACTCTACATCTGGTTCTTTCATACTTGTCTACCAATTATACCCATTTTATATCCATGTAGAATTTGTCCCTTTTGAAAATTAACCTTCTTTTAAATTATAATTGCAATGAGAGAAAGTGTTTCAGAATCTGAAATATTTAATGAATTTGGTCAAATTGAGGTAACAACTCTGAGTACTACCTGGCTCAAAAATACATATGTCAATAAAATCACTCTTACTATATCTACTAAAAGGGGAAAACATGAATTCAACCACTCTTTTTCCACTTGGTAAAAAAGAAGATCTCATAAAGTTTATGCTTTATTAATGGAGGCTTCAAATTACATGGTTTTCCAACTTAGTATTTTTCAGTATCAAATTTCTCAGAATAGGAATGGATCCCAGAAAAAAAAAAAAAAGGTCAAGTATGAAGTCCACATCTCTCTACCATTCCAGGTCACATGCTGTGATAAAACTGTATTGAGAAATAACAAACACTTGGTAACCTCTGAACACAAGAACTAAAACAACAATTTACTATTAATCCCCATTAATTACAAAGAACTATTTCCAAGATCTATTAAGTACAACATTAAGCTGAAAGGCAAGCAAAAATGTACCTTGCACATTTCTAGTTATAGAATTTAGCTCATATCTAATCCTTCCCCTAGAAGGTCTTTATCGGCTGTATAACTAAATTCTACATTCCTGAAGACTAATTCAAGTCTCACAGCTTTGAACCCTTCCTGGTTATTAATTTTAATTCCAAATTTCCTTCCCAATCACTGTGTCATTCCTCTGGCTCAACATAAACTAGCTTGTGTTATCTTTGTAAATGTGACTGCCTTGTCCAGTTAAGCTGTTAAGCTCTTTGAGGGCACAGGACAATCATGCACTATTTGTACCCTCCAGGATCCTTGAAACAACATGCATTTGAAATATTATCACAGTGAGGATGAGAGGGGGCAAGAATAGAAGTTCAGGGGCTGGGCATGTGGCTCAAGCGGTAGCGCGCTCGCCCGGCATGCGTGCGGCCCAGGTTCGATCCTCGGCACCACATACAAACAAAGATGTTGTGCCCGCCGAAAAACTAAAAAAAAATAAATATTAAAAAAAAAATTCTCTCTCTCTCTCTCACACTCTCTCTTAAAAAAAAAAAAGAATAGAAGTTCAGTAGATTAGACAACGGGGAATGAAGGGAAGGAAGTGGGGACAGGGACAGGAAAGACAGTGGGATAACTCTAATATAACTTCCCTATGTACATATATGAACACACTACAATGAATCTCCACATCACACACAACCACAAGAATGGAATTCTAATTAGAAGAAGATATATTCCATGTTTGTATAAATATGTCATAATACACTCTACTGCCATAAATAAATAAATAAATAAATGATTTTGGGGCAAAAAAAGAGAGAAATATTACCACTTGAACATTATTCTTGCCCTTTAAGTACAACTATAACTCCTTGTGGACAATCTGGAGGAAAATAAGTACTGAGGTTCTTTAAAATCTGAGACCAAAATAAGGGGGAAAGATTATTTGACTCATCATTTTAAGTAAAGAAAATAATTTGTAAACAAGGTAATTCTGTGAACTGACTTCCTAAGTAAGCTCCAATAAATAAATGTGTAGGTCTCATCTTTCTTACCTTTCATAGGAGAGCCCTGAGGTGTGGCTGGGACATGGACTCCCATCCCAGGGCCACGACGGTAAGGAAAGTTTTCAGGACTATATTTTTCACATAATACTTGCATAAAACTTCTTCCACTAGGTTGGTCCATCTTTCTTTCCTAAATTCTACAAGAAACCAAGAAATCATCAAAATTATTTATTTACTCATATAAGAAATATTTACTGAGAACCAATTATTTATCAAGCACTAAAGTAGGCATTGCAGACATAGAAGATATGGTCACTGCCCCCAGGAAATTACACCATGGTAAGATTTTATGATTTAAGGAAGTTACATATGCAAACAAATGACAGCAACATAGCTCAGCATATGATATTTGCAAAATAATAAAAACTATTCCAAGATTAAGAAGAGGGGTGATCATTGCCAATCAAGAATAACAAGGCTTTGCACTAGTGCATAGAGTTCACGCAGTAAGTAACTGGAAAAAGGACTAAAAGAAGAGGTATAGGCTAAACATGAGGCTAAATAATTTGGATGAAGCTTTTATTATCTGACCCTTGAAATTCATTTTCCTCTTCTTCCACAGTAATAGAAATTTTACATATGTACACCATATATGTATATTGGCTATCTGTATTTAGAAATAAATATATGTCTAGTTCTAGCTGATTGGAATAGAAATAAGGTCTAGCTGATTGGGATAGAAATAAAATATTCTGTGGCAACGTCCAGCAATCATCCTTAAAAGACAGCCAAGGTATTCTATTTGACTTCCTTCTTTGTGTCGTCCTTCATTCTACTTAATAGAAAACAGATGCCACCTTGGACCATGAGCCAAGTAACATGTCCTAATGGAGGAGGAGGAGCAATTGCTAAAAGGGGCCTCAGTTCTGGAGGTCTTCCTGGGACTGAACTGCCATATAGGTATATATCTCTAGAAATTTCAGAAAATAAATAACCTATTTTATTTAATCCACTGTTCTCTTTTCTTTTCCCTCCCTCCCTCCCTTCCTTCCTTTCTTTCTTTCTTTTTCTTTCTTTTTTAGTTACTTACCACCCGGCCTAAGAAATGACTAATATAGAATTTCATTTCTTTTTCTTCTGAGTTTAGGTAGAAGATTTTCTACTTAACCTCAGCTGAGGGTCCAAATAATCAATAACTCCAGCACTTTCTCTATACTCCTCCATGTGTTAAAAGAGATAATACATGCTAACAGCCTGATAACATATTATCAGGAGCTACCCTATGCTTATATCATACATCAACCAGTAGGTTATCACGCTACTTTTTAAAAATTAAAACAATCAGAAAAAGAGAGGAGGATAGAGACTACTCAAAGAAAGGATATCATGAAAGAAGGCAGAGAATGTACAAAGGCATATGTAAGTAACCTCAAGAGATCCAGTGTTGCCAAAGCAGCATGACCATAAAGGACATCATCTAAACAGGAACCCCAAAGGAGAGCTTATGTGCCACATTAAGAAGCAGAGTTTTATCCTATGGTAAGCAGGAAGAAATTAGGTTTTTAGGAAGGGAAGACAATTACCAATTGTTTTGTTGGAAACTCACCCTAGCAATTATACAGTTGATGGATATGAGGGAAATGAGTGAAGGCAGGAAGAAGAGTTAGGAAGATGCTACAAGAATACAAAAGCAGGATAATAAGGACCTCAAAAGCCAGAGTGGGGGAAGAATTAGAAAATAGTGGCAGATTCAAAATGACTTAGAAAGCAAGCTTTTCAGGAACTGTAGGGGCTGAGAGAGAAGGGGAGTCTAAGCTGGTTTCCAGTACAGGTGACCAGGTGACTACATTACCTTTAACTAGTACCATTAGTCAAAAAAATATGATCAAAGTCAGTGTTAAGGGGCAAAATTATGGATTCCAATTTACTCATATTCAATTAGAGACACTTGTGGAATATTCTGGAAAACAGTCTAAATTTGAGTGAGAAATGTTAGCCAAAGATGAAGATTTGTACATCATCAGAATATAGGAAGTACTCTGAATAAGAACAGTAGGACAAGAGAACATGGGAATCAATGATATTTAAAGGACACGCAGAAGCAGCAAAGTCATGAAGAAAAAGAAAAGGAACAACAGAAGAGCAGCATATACAGCCAATATTTTGAGGACTTTAATGAGAAAAGGAGAAGGAAGACGGGATAGTAAGCTTGGCAGGCACAAAATAGAGGAGGGAATCAGACACAACTGTCACAAGTTTTCTCTCAAAATAGGAGAGACCTGAACATTGTTGTAGATTTCAAGAGTGGCTTACAGAGAGACTAAGGAGGACTACTGATACTTTTCCCTGGAAGAAACCAACAGGAATGAACATTTAAAAGTTTCTCTCAGAGAATGGTTTGATACCAGTCAGATATTCTTCAAATTGTTTACCATTACTGGAGACAGATTTACTTCACTATGGATGCACTGGTTTACTTGTACTTGCATAGTTTAATTATACTGAACACTACGTATTTCTCATGTTATCATCCTAACTCCAACTTTAATTATAAAGGGGAGTGAAACTGTGCAATTCTAATTCTTTCAGTATTGATTCATAGCATCAGATGCAGCATACTATGCATAGTAAGAGCTGATGAATGCTGAGTTATTAAAATCACTTGCCTCCAGGGTGCCAAGTGGAAAAAGCAGAGAATTCAGGATGGGGAGCAGATTTAAACCCCACTCAGATTTCACTACTTAATAGTTTTGTATCATCAAGCAAGTCAAGTATTTCTCTCTGGGACTCAAACATCTATATCTATAAAATATTAACGTCTACACTATTCATATTACAGGGTTGGTGTGGAGCCCTAAAATATATAAATACATTATTTGGATTAAAGGGCTATTGTAAAGCTCTAAATACAAATGCTATTAATTTTAAGCGAAAGTTATGGTAAAGTAGAAAGCATATGGACATAGGAAACTTATGTTCTCTCACTAGCTGGGTACACTTACGCTAGTTAGCTAACCTTTCTACTTTATCTTTTTCACCCATGGATGGTCTCAACCTTCCTCTCAGATTTGCCACAAGAAGTTTTTAAAAAGCATGAGTTAATATAGTCATTAAGTTTGGCATATCTCTTAGACCACTATCAAGACCATTCCCACAACAACTGTGTGAAATCAGTTCTCAAATAGTTAGAACACAATGGATGCTCATGGAGCATGTGTCCATTCACTGAACAAAGTTTCATCTCTATAACTTACCAAAGATTAGACTACAGAATACATTTCATAATTGAGTATATCACAAGTCACCTTGAAAATACAGGACAGTCTTCTGTTTAAAAATCTTCATTTGTAAGCTTAGGGGTAGAGACAATTGGAGTGCCAGATAGTTATTTCTATCTACATAAAATAGTAAATATTTGCATAGGAGCGCTCTCTATCCTAATATTCATGGTGTCAACTTTTGAGCTTGGGTTGTGTTCATCTTATGCTTTGGGAACCTTCAGGCTGATCTTTTAAAAAGTAAACATATCACCACCAACAGCAGACAACATAAAGCATATCTTATGCCACTTGGAACAAGCACCAGAGCTCTTATCAAAGGCCTTGTCTCAAGTTGAATGCCAACAGAATCTGTACAAACTGTTTAACAAAAACATCAAAGAAGTTACATTGCTATCTTTCATACAATTGGCAATTCAAAAAAAAACGTGTGGGGAAGGTGAACTCTATCAAAATAATGGTCACTGTGTTTAAGTAGCATCTATTATCTGTAGAATTCAGAACCACTGCACTACATAATTCAAGGGCAATAGTCTTAAACACAATTGAATTATAGACAAATTGAGAGTCTACAATGTGGCATGGGCGGCTGAGGCATGAGGATCAAGAGTTCAAAGCCAGTCTCAGCAACTTAATCAGGCCCTAAGCAACTTACCGAGACCCTGTCTCTAAATAAAATATTTTTAAAAGGGCTGGGGATGTGGCTCAGTGATTAAACACCACTGGGTTCAATCAAGCAAGCATGGGTACTTAAAATTTTTTTCCCTCATGGCAGAAAACAAAACATCCAGCCCCATACTTGAATAATTCTTCCAAATAGCCTGGATTTTTTTTTTAAATTATTATTCTTAAGACTGAAGAGCGACACCAGGTGCCTTTGCTGGTTCTTTTCCAGAATACTCTACTGCACTAGTTTTCCTGTAATAAAGATGATGCAGTCTTAGATAGGTGGATTTTGAATTAGAATGTTATGGCTGCAAAATGGATTGGTAATATAAATCTAATCTATCTTTTGGGGCAGTTTGAAGAGGAACAATAGGTGGGGAAGGAGGGCTGAAAACCAAGAAGACTGAAAAATAAGGAAATATAGGGTAGAAAAAAATCCTTTAACCAGAGCGTTTTAAAAGTTTTTTTAGGTATAGGGGATAATCTATGACTTTTTGGAAATAGCAGGTGTCAAATTTCATCAGTCTACCTCTATAGTTGGCAGAGTTCTAATGCATTTGTAAAATGTTCTGAATTGGTGCTTAAAGCCAAGGAGCCAGGAATCTTGGGTGATGCTGCTTGGTTCCATTAACAAAATGTGGAGTGTGCCTGTGAAAATCTCAAATCCATTGTGTCTCAAGATCCTGACTATAATATCCTCTTGTAAAGTGCTTGGAAAAAATCAGGATAAAGTACAAATTGGAGGATAAAGTGCTCAGGGCACTTTTGCCAGGTGGATAAATATCAGAACAGAACATTCAGCTTCCTAAGTACCCTCAATTGCTATCAAACAATTTATATTTTATGTTCCCACTAAAAGGGTAGATCAAAATTAGTATGATACTCAACACAACTGAAAACAGAAATAGGCCACGTCTGGACACTAACACTGGAAGATATACTAGATCCAACCTCGTGGTCTCATGCAACATCAACATTTCACAAGGAAACAATGTGCAGTAGTGTATTTCATAAAGTATAAATACTACCAGCCTCACTTACAACTCCCAAGAGATATAAATACTATGCCACAGAATGCCAAAATATAAATTTTAAATCTTATAAAAATAGATTTACTGGATTGTATATATATCTAGACTATCTCCAGAGTGAAAAAATAGAAATGAGTAAAAGTAGTACCAACAGCTGACTCCAGAGAAAAGAAATGAAGAAGAAGGGTAGAAAGATTCGTTTTTCAATGTCTACCCTTTGAAACCTTGAACTCACCATATTCATAACTCATCTTTTCACAATGGAAAATATTGTATCTGGAAATGCCACAATATTTTGTTACACAATTTTTTATTTCCTCATTATTGTAAAGTTTTTATGCAAACAATTCCAACTTGGAATTTTTGTATGTAGAATATACAACATTATAAAAATTTTTAAAGGAACTGGGGAAGAAGAAAGTAGAAAATAAAATGGATGGCCAAACAGAGATAATTTTGTAAAACAGAATGAGGAAAGTAAAAGCAAGCAGAAACAAAACACACCCAAGCCTCAAAACCAAACTAGAATGAAACTAAGAGGAAGGGCTGAGATGAACAGGGAAGATTCTGTGTTCTACTATTCTTTACCATGGCTTTAACAAGGACAAAGCAAAAGCTCCACTATGGATTGTACACAAAGAGCTGGAAGAATACCCTCAGGCTGCAGTTTGTCTTTGCACACCAAGTTAAATGTGTCAACAAAAGCTACCAATTTTATCCAAAATTTTCTGTCTATAGCCACATCAAGAGGGGTGATGCCTTAAGAGGTTCAGGCCTTGGGTCACCTCAGACTGTGGAGACTAACAAGGAACAGAGCTGGGCTTCAAGCATCAGGAAGCCATTCTGCAGATTTCAATATAGTAGAAGAGAAGACAGTTGGGAACTGATTTACAGTTTGGAAAAGAAACAACAATAATTCAAACGTCATTAATTTAGGATGAGGCTAAATCTTCAAAAGAGTATTCATAGTTTCTATAAAAGGAAAATATTCTCAAGTAGTTTAATATTACTTTCAGTTTCATTTACATACAACGAATCAATCTTATCTATTCATCAGAGTAGGGTGAAAAAAACTACACTCAAAAAGCTGCCTGCCAATCTTTTGCCAATAATATTTGTAAACAAAACAGGTTAAACATTTTGTCTACAGGCTCCACAATTTCACCTTTAGGTTCCTTTGTTGAGATGATACTTCATGTCAGTGATTTTTTTTTTTCTGTACTTAGGTGTCTGTTTCCTTCACAAAACAATCTGAGAATGAGATTATTTACCAATTGTTTAATAAAAAATATAGTCAACAAATACATTTAGTATTATATATCTGCCATTTCTTTCTGTATTTTACCAACTGATCCCAATTTGGCTTATTCGCCCATTCATTTATGTACAAAATATGCGATCTCACAGAGCTTACTTCAGCTGAACAAGCATGTACCAGATGCTGAATCCAAACACTGTGCTAATCCTGAAGAAAGGGAGAATGAATAAAATCCAAACCCTGTCCTCAGGACATCAACAATCTAGAAGGAAATATACCAGATGATACATATATAAAATATAAAATATGATTAAACTTTTGGAAACATGATGAATTAAATCAAAGAATCTCTTAGGATTACTAACTTTCGTGTCTTTCTGTTTTTTGTTTGTTTTGGTGTGTGGGGAGAGAAATTTGGTTTTTTCTTTTGTTTTAGCCCATTTAACTTTCACTTTGTAGACTCCTCTTTTAACCTCATCCAAAGAAACCTTTGTTTTTGAATGATTCCCCATTAGACCCAAACCCTGAAAGATACTTGTACATTTAGGTAATTGGAATTTTTGTTTTCTAAATAAGCATTTCTGATCCTCAGCATAAGTGTATCCCCAATAAAACAGAATAACTCAGGAAAAGTATATGTTATATATTTTCCCTCCAAGAAAGATTAAATAAATCAATATATAAAGTTCTGTTAATCAACTGCTTTCTAAGTATTTGCTTTTAAAAAATACAACATCCAATGAGTTTTCAAAAATTTCCAAGTGAATATATGCAAGCAATAACTACAGCAAAACCTGTAACCCCCCATCATGTAGTATCCCTTTTTATTAGCTAAGGATATAAATAAGTGTTACCAACAGCTTTCATGTCTAAAGCATATTTAGAGCCACAGCTATACCCGGAGACATCAGTAACAGATTTAGCAAGGTCACTGAGCATGAGGAAGCACCTTATGGTGTACACCCTTCCAAACCACTCTTTCCAGGCTATGTAGATACACTTAATTTTATACAGATTGTTGTTTTTAGATATATAGTTTTATCATCTGTTTTTTCCTATACAGCTTGTGACAAACCTTCATATTAATAACTATCCATCTATTTTGAAAGTTTGTAAAGTATTTCATTAGTAAGCTGAATTATGTATTATAAAGAACCTGCAATTCTATTTCAGTTACTGCCCTTGAGCATTACGTAATGTATCCAAGTGGATGTCTCCTTTAGGTAAGAAGGAAAACAAATCTTTTGAAACTATTCTGTATGATTATAGTTAGCCAATTCACTAACTTAACTTTTAGCATTCCAAGTGCAAAACAAGTCTAGCTGATAAAATTCATTATCATAACACACCAGGCCACCATGATTTCACATCCTAAGGACCACCCTGTTTCTCAAAGTCTCTTTCTCAACTGTATACTACATGGCATTTAAGTGTAATAATGTGGCACATCAACTTTTCCTGGTAGAAAATTAAAAGTAATTTAAAAAACCAACACTTCAGATGAAATGTGAGTTCAGACTCTTCCTGATCATTCTTATTGATCGGAGACTACTACTATCTTTTCCTACCATGGCACCATACTTCTTGAAAGTATCAAAAACAGTGGAGTTTCTACCCAAAATTCTTAATTTCATTGCATTAATGACATCATCAGTGACAAATATAGCCTCAGAGCTGTCAATGACTTCTAGTAAAGAATTATACTACATTTAAGGCACATTGAACACTGGACAAAGAGACAAAGTTTTCTCATCTACAATTGCACATTAGCAAATTCAGCTACTCCCAAGCTCGCAGTCCACTGTACAAAAACAGAGCACCTGAAATTCTAATCTAAAGGCTTCAACCCAAGACCTTAATTATTTTATTAGAAATTTGAGAAAAAAAGTTAAACACTGCTATTTATACTGAAGTATTTCTTTGTGTGAAAATGTTTCTAAACACATATGATTTTCATTGTCCAAAATTGTCGTCTTAAGCCAATTGTCCATATCCCTGCTAAATTAGGGATTCTGAAATATAGAGCAAAAACACATAGCAGACACAACAATCACAACAAAAATGACTTAACATTCACAACACCCTTTACTTCAACAGCTTCCCCCAACCCACACTCAACTCCTTCATAAATTAACATTTACCCTTACCTTTCTATTTGGCCCAGATTTGATTTGGAAAAATTCCAAGGCTTTGTTGTTTTACTTATGCAAAGCAGAATTAGACACATTTACTCTTGAAGTGATGTTTCCAAACCAAGTATCTCCACCCTGAGATTAACAATCATTTTAAAGCCTAGTCATTTTCCACAACCACTCTCTTAAAGAGACAAACTGCCACTGTTTACAGGAGAGGAAACTGAGGGCACTTGCTCAGTTTTCTATGGCCCAATCAGCATGCTATATTATGCTCTCCACATCTCTAATCTGTTTAGTCCTGCTGTCTTTATTAAAAATGAAACATTTCAGGCTGGGGATATAGCTCAGTTGGCAAAGTGTTTGCTTCCCAAGCACAAGGCCCTGGGTTCAATCCCCAGCACCACAAAAACGAACAAAAATTTCATACCAACAGCATATAGACCCCCATAAATTCTAGAAGTATAACTTATTAAAATGTATGAAAATCATTATAGCCAAAAAACTAAGAAGCATTTCTACTGCCTAATCTAGTTACAAAAGGGGGCGAAATTATTCTCAACTTTTTTTGTCTTTCCGCAAGGCAATGAATTTTTTTTTTCTTAAATGGATTAGGTTTCATCAGAAGAAAACTACATGTACATTTTCTTTCAGCTGTGAACACACAAATTTAAGGTCATTATCTAGCTGTTTACAGAATGGATTACCCTACTATCTCTGCTCTACAGAAGCCACCATGTTAAGGCAAGTCTCATTATCAACAAACTATTAGTTTATCACTCTGCTTTCTAGAGGTGATTACCAACCACTCTAGCTAATAACCAGGGATTCCAGATGTTAAAACATCAGTTATCCAGAAAGGCTATGAAAGTTTACGCATAAAAAAAAAGTTACTAATCCCTTCCACATTTACTGCTAATGGCATAATATGCCCAACAATAATAAGTGCTGATTCTGGATCTAAAATGTCTGGAAGTAAATCCTGACTGATTCCACTACTGTGTGTGACAGTGGGTAAGTTACTGAAGTTTTTCAGGTCTCCATTTCCTCATCCACAGGAAGGATAATGAATGGTTCCTAACTGGAGAATGAAAGGAGAAAATATAGGCAAAAAGTATTTAGCACAAGAAAGCACAGAATACTAGTTTACTGTTGCATCTACTAATCCTATTATTACTACCATCAATATCCAGTGAATATAGCAGCTGAATGTAGGGTGAGAAGACTTGTGATTTTTGTTAAATAGATTTGGTCTCATTTGTTTTAAGGGCCGGGGACTATGCTAATTAATGCCAACTTAATGAGTCATCACAAAATAAAATATCTGATATTTATGGCATGCCTCCTTACACAGAAGATCTCACCAGTATCTCTCTGCCTATCTGAATTTTATGTATACTGCAACATCCCATTCAAAATATACTTGAGAGATGAGACTTTTTCAGATACCTCTTGCCTTAAAGATGTTTCCTTTTAGCTGAGCTCATGGTAGCTACTACCTAAAATATTCAGTGGGCAAATAATCACATATTGGCCTGTCATCTTTTCATTTTTGGCCCAGATACTGCACATTATTAAAGTCATGCATTGTGATGTAATTTTCATGTGTTTATTTGTATCCTCAGACCAGACAGTTTTTTGACAATAAGAATCATACATATCCTAACACTTCTTTGTATCTATCATAGACTGGAACTTTGCACATAATTGGAAATTAGTATATGTCCTAATGATAGGTTTTCTAGTCACTTCTATTGTTCATAGCAAATACATTTTATAAAATATAAAAACTGTATTTATTAATAAACTCTGCAATCAAACATAGAATTACTATTTAATTCAGCAATTATACTTCTGGGACTATACCCAAAAGAATCAAAAGCAAGTAGAACAGATAGTTACACCATTATTCACAATAGCCAAAAGGTAGAAAAAAAAATCCAAGTGTCCATCAGTACGTAAAGGGCTAAGCAAAATGTCATACATACACACAATGGAATATTATTCAACTTTTAAAATGAGGAAAATCTGACATAAGTTATAACATATTTGACATTATACTAAAGGAAATAAGCTAGACACAAAAGGACAAATACTGTATAACTGTACTTACACGAGTTTAAAACAAAGTAGTCAAATTCATGGAGACAGAAAGTACCAAGGTTGGTTGCCAAGAAGGTGGGGAGTGGGGAATGGAGATTAATGGATACTGAGTTTCAGTTTGGAAAAATGAAAAAATTCTGGGATTGTGGTGATGGTTGTATAACAACGTGTACATACTTAATGCCACTGAACTAAATAGTTAAAATGGTAAATTTTAAAATGGTTATTTTACTATAGAAATATTTATAAAAAATAAAGAAATAAAGTAGATGGTATAGAAAAAAATGTATTAGGCCAAGTCCAAAATTTCCAGTTCTAATCTCGGGCACCCGCATGAAATTAATGCAGAAAATTCACTTGAGGATTTTAAACCATGAGTGAAGAATGAAGTAGCCAAGCCTCCATAAGTGAATTTAGTGGGAGATTTGATTTATGACATATATAATCTTCACTTATCTTTTTCTTTGAATCCTTTACCAATGTTCATGAGAAGAAATGTTAATAAATGAATAAGGGGACTAACCTTTTGAAAAAGTATGTGCCCTTATACAACTTTATGTTATACTCAAACATTTATCCATAAATTAAATACCAATACTATGACTATAATCACTTTTTAATAATCAAAACGTTTTTAAAATCTATAAAGGGAGTTGGTCAGTAAAATGAAAAACTTTTGATCAGACATTAAAAACATAAGACATAAGACAGAAACGGGAGCGGAGGGCATTTGCAACACACCTATGAAGGAGGGGCACTTGCAGCATAGTAAGAAGAACTCTTAAAAATAATTTCAAAAGGTGAAAGCTCAAAGGAAAATGGACAATAAACATAAATATTTAATAGATAATAACACTGAAATGGCTATTAAATATATGTAAAAGATGCCCGATTTCAGTAATGTTCAGAGACAAAAATTAAAGTAGTGATGTATTATTTCAAATAAGTTAGCAAAACTTTAATGACTCTGACAATACCAAGTGTTAGGATGTGGAAGAACAGGAACTCTCACACTACTAGAGTATAAATTTGAAGACACTTTGGAAAACAACATGTCTTGAGTTGAAGACGCACATACTCTCTCATACAGCAATTCTACTCTCAGCATGACCGATATTGGAACTTGTAAATGTGCACCAGGAGATAAGGACAAGAATGCTGATAATAGCTTTGTTTGAAATTGCAGAAATCCTGGGGTAAAAACCCCTTACATTTAAGAAACAGTGATTGCATATATTACAACATATTCATAAAACAAACAATTGGTAGTTCATTAAGCTTGTTTCCTCATCAACATGAATGATTTAAAAAGCAATGCTGAATGGGTGAAATAATTAATCACAAGAATATACGCAATTCCATTTATACTGAGAGTTTAAATTTTTAAATTTAAAATTAAATGATAATTAATCTTCCATCTTCTAATTTAATTTAGGGTCAGATAAATATTTAATAAAAAATAAAACTATAAAGAAAAGTCAGAAAATAATAACACAAAACTGAGAACAGTGGCATCCTTTCAGGTTGAAGGTGTACATCAGGAGAGGCACACAGGGGACACAAACAGAACTCAGTCCCTCTCCAAATCTGCTCCTCCTATGCTCACTCCCATCTCAGAAATTACATCTGATCCCTCTTTTTCTCTCACACTCCCATGTGATTATCAGGCAGACCCATCAACACATCTAAAACATCCCAATTCCTCCCATTCTTTCCTTCTCTTACTTTGCTCTAGTCCAAGCCAGGACTGCTGCAACAGCCCCCTCCCTGGTCTCTCCTAACTTGTACAATTCATTCTCCACAAAGCAGCCAAGTCGTCTTTTCAAAATTTAAGTTAAATTGTGTCTTTTTTAAATTCAATGGCTTCCTTTCCCATTTAGAATAAAATCCAATCTCTAGCATAGTCTTCAATTTATCTGATCTCTCTAATCTTTTCCTCCTTCCACACTTTTCCTAGCTCACAAGGCTTCAGACTCCCTGGCTTTCTACTTCTCAAACTTGCCAAGCTAATTTCCCCCTTTCCTGGCTCTTGGCAGAGTTGCTTCAATTCAGCATGAGTCTCAAATGTAAACCCAAATGTCACCTTCTCAAAGTCTGCCTCTGATCACCTAATCAAAAATGGCACCACTGCCACTATCTATCACTCATTATCGCTTCATTCTTTCTTCGAAGTTCGAACCATGATCCATTCATTTGGTATTTAAGGTCCCTCTCCACCAGAATTTGAGTTCCACAAAACCAGGAACCCATCAGTCCAGTTTAGTGTACACTGGACAAGTGTTTGTTGGATGAATGAAAAGGTAAATTTTATTTAATAGACATGAAGTAGTGTGGCAGACTGGGGAGAAAGAAAAATTTTGGAAAATCACTGGAAAGGCATTATCCAGAGAATAGTTTTAAACAATCCTTTTTGTGAGAGCACTTAACACATCACATTTCTAAGAATGATTAGTAAATTAACAATAAAAGTTTCATACAGCCACAATCTCTTGATTTCAGAAATGTGTCACCTGCTTAAATCACCTTTTTAGAATAGCATTGCAGTTAAAAGCGTGAGCTTTGATTAATTCCAGGTTCATTATGGTTGCTGTGTAATTTCTCCAAGTTACTTACCTGTCTATGCCTGTTCCCTTATTTATAAAATAAAGGTATCAATAGCTATTTCATAAGGTTAATGTGAAAATTAAATGAAACAAAGTTTTTTAAATGAAATCATCTAGTGTCTAGCATAAGTTGTAATTACTATTGTGAAAGCTGAAAATGGCAAAGTCCAGACAAATATGGGAGCTGACAGAAGGCAAATACCAACATCCTCTCCCTCTAGTACAGGTGGACTAATTATTGACAACATACTGGGGATATAATATATGCCACAACTAAATCCTATTCCTGAGAAGGCAAATGTACACAAAGGTAATGCATTGTAAGTGTAGACAAAGCATATTGAGAACACGGAAGGTCAGTCACATGTAGAACTGAGACTTAGGACAACAGTGGAAATCTGTTAGATGAAAAAGTGGAGGAAAACACATATACAGGTACAACTAAGCGAAAGAAATGCAAGATAAAGATAGAAACATACTGTAGATGATGTGGAGAGCTGTTGGAGGGGACTGGCTAGGCCAGATGGTAAGGACCTATGTCCTCTGGAAGTTTGCATTTTATTCTTTGAGCAGTGGTAAAACTAAGGGAAAATAACATTCTAATTTAATACCAACCTTTCTCAAAAAGACCAAACACCTAGCCAGGTGCAAAGGCACATGCCTACAATCCCAGAGACTTGAGAGACTGAGGCAGGAGGATCACAAGTTTGAAGCCAGTGTCAGCAACTTAGTGAGGCCCTAACAACTTACCCAAACACTGTCTCAAAAAATAAAAAAGCACTGGGGATATAGCTCAGTGGTAAAGTGATTCCGGGTTCAATTCCCAATGCCCAAAAAGGAAAAGAAACAAAAAAGGAAGGAAGGAAGAAAGGAGGCAAAAACACCTTTATGACTTTAAACAGCACACACACCCATGATCTACTAACCCAAAACGGAAAACATTGCAAGCCTGACTTCTGGAAACCATATGAACCATCTGCTTTTTAACAATGACTGACCTAGAACCTATTCTTGCAACCCATATCTCATTACCGTGATGACACTGATGCTAGTGGTCATCATCATAACAGCAGCAGATAAAAATCTACTGAGCGCCTACTGCGTGTTATGTGCTATGTTGCTTTTGCATGTACCATCTCATTTAATTCCAACAACACCCTCATAAGAAATACTATTAATCCTGTTTTACAGGTTGGAAAATAGAAGTACAGTGAGGTTACAGTCACAGGAATCAAGTCTAGGCTGACTTCAAAGCCTTAAAATTAAACCATCCTGAACTATGATATTGCTCAATTCATTAACTTCACTTGCTCAAAAGTCAAGTGTGTGTACCTATTATCATTTAAGGCATCATGCTAATCAGTGATTTTTAAATTTTATTGAACAGAAGAGTCACCTGGGCAGTTTGCTAAAATATAGAGTCCTAGGTGCCACCAGAGATTAAGTTTCTATAAGTCCAGGGCAGTACTCAGGGATATGCATTTTTAGTAAGTCTAGTTATTCTGATTCACTAGGTCTATGACCTATGTTCCAATAGACCCTATGCTAGATGTCCTCAAGAATCAAAGATATTTGAACCCTGTCACCTCCAGATATTTATGATCTAAAAGAGGTAAAAATAAGGCACACAAACAATACAATCAAGAAAGACTTAAAAAAGGTTAGACCTCAAGAATGTGACCCCACTGATAAAATTTAATGTGAGCAATTCTTTCCAGATTAATGTGCCTTTGGTTCCAAATAATATGAACTCATCTTCAACTGAAAGTAACATTATTAAACTAGTCAAATACATATCCTATACACTTACTTATTAAATATTAGGCAAGGTACCATTTGACAATGCAGAAGACTGTGTGACAACCTTTCAAAGGAAAAGGTCTCTAACTTTGTTCCCCAACATTCATTAATGTTTACTATAAATTAATACTGTTTTTATAAGAGTCTAACCTATTTTAGAAGAGGGTCATCTTAATGAAATGAGGATAAACAGGATTTCACAAAGAAAGGGAACACACTTTGTTATATACCAAGCAAGATATAATGATTAGAGACCTTGGTAGGAAGAGGATCTGTTTTTTGGAAATGGAATGTCAGGAAAAAAATTGAGAAAAGCTGCAGAGGGTCCTCAACAACAACCTAAACAGTATGGGCTTTATGTATTGCTGGCACTGAAAGGCACTAATGGTTTTTGAGGAGAAAAATGAAGTAATCACAGCAATATTCTCTGGAAGAATACTCTCATGAAGCTATGTGAAATCAAGTAGCATTAGAATACAGACAATGGGAATTGTTGGGCTATTACTGTACTGATCCGCAAAAAACATAAATCAGAACAGGGTAGGCTGAAAAAGGGAGTAATGGTAAATCTTAATGTCTAAACACATGTAGGACAAAGGCAACAGTCACAGCTAAAATGATTTCTTCACCTATTAAACCCAAATTGTAACACTGTCAATTTCACATTACTTTTCAGAACTTTTTCTTACATTGCAGAATAGGTCCAAAATATATCAAGAACTCACTTATTTAAAACATAGCCCAGGACTATGAAATGAATAATTAGGTCTAAATAGCCAAAATACACGTCATATAGTTTAAACACTAAGGGGAAAATAAGTATTTTATGTGTATTTAAAACATCATTCAAAGCAACACAATCCCATTTTACACAATTCTGATAAATATTAAGTGTCTGATTTCCAAAGCCACAATACTGTGGAAGCAAAGATTACAAGGGGAAAAGAGCCTGCTGTATGTCTAAAAGTCAAAAGGAAAACTGAAAACTAAAAAACAAAATGAACAAATGAAAAAAAAAAAAAACACAATCACTCAGAATAAGTTCTCCACATTGTTTATTGACACGTACACACGATTCCCAGAAAATGAAATCAATGAGATCTTCCTTAATGTTCCAAACACCTACCAAAAAAGACAATCTTTTTTAAACATTCTTTAAAGCTATATTTTAAAACAAATATTTACCTGATTAAAAGAGATAATTTTCTGAAATGTTTGATTCATACCAACATAAAGTCTCTCCTCCACAACCAAGACATAGTCAAGAGTTAAAAAGAAAGATATATTTTATCACCCACAAAGTTTGAAGACAATAGAAAGCTTTCATAAGGCATCAAGTCAAGAATGTGTCCCCACTGATAAAATTTAATGTGAGCAATTCTTTCCAGATTAATGTGCCTTTGGTTCCAAATAATATGAACTCGTCGTCAACTGAAAGTAACATTATTAAGCTAGTCAAATACATATCCCATACATTTACCTATTAAAATTAGGCAAGGTATCATTTGACAATGCAGAAGAGGCTGTGTGAGAACTTTTCAAAGGAAAAGATCTCTAACTTTGTTCCCCAACACTCATTAATGTTTATTATGAATTAATACTGTTTTTCATAAGGGTCTAACCTATTTTACAAACAAAAAAATCAGTTTTGTAGTTAAATGATTCAAAGTAATTCCTAAGTTTATGAAATATACTAAAGCCATGAACTTTATACATTTAAATATAGAGCAAAAAGTATAAAACATAACAATTACTAGAGTAAGAAGATTCAAGATGTTTTTAAGTAACAGAAAAGCAAAACAGTGTATCTTTATAATGGTAGCAGTGAAATAAAACTTCCTTAACTATGACTAGGAGCAAAGTGGCTAAATGAAACTAGGCCTCTCATATTTCTCAGATGCAGCAAAGGACAGAGAAAATTAAGAGGCACAGACACAATTTTGTCGAATGATTGGGAAACACTGATATGTCAAATATTATGATTGTAATACTTCAAGAAACAGGGATCAAATATGTTATATGTTATAAACATCTAACTAACTGAAGCAAACATTTATACCTGGCAGCCCTACCCCTGTCCCCAAAACTCATCTTGGAATCATCTTTGTTCTCTAAAAGCGCAGAATATGGAGACACTGACTAATCAAGAAATGTGCCTTATAAACATAACTTTTCAATCTGCAAGTGGAGACCCATAAATCAATTTGGTGGATTTCAGTCAGTATGTTTCTAAATGAAAGAAAATGGAATAGAAATTACCGGAATGCACACGTAATAAGGGTAAAGGTTGAATTACTTTAAAATCATATGTAGATATGTACTAGATCACAATGTAAAATGCACTGTGAGGTATAATTTTTTTTTTATTTAAAGGAAATAAACTAAATTTGAAAAATACCACCCCAGATATCCAGTCTAATGTCTCAGGACCCAAAGACTGAGTGTTTTCTTAGTCTTCAGCACTTATTCAAACTCTCCTGGCTCAAGATGAATCCGTGGAAACCAATATAAGAGCTCCATGGCAGCATGAAGAGAACAGGGACAAACCCCTGCTAAGTCTTTACTGGGCACTGAATGCATTCTCAGCTTTCCCAAACAGCCCGAGATGGTGCCTACAAGCTCCCTGTAGCTTAGCAACCTTCAGAGTAAAGCTCCTCCTTCCTGCACTGACTGTAAACAGTTCAACTCTTTCAACCAACTTTCAACTATAACTGCTGCCATCACTATGTCCCAGGAAAAGATACTGTGGAATGCCTTCCTAGTAAAGGACCTAGAACTCTGTATTCCCATTCTCAAAACAAGAAGCTCCAAACATCGTTAGTCCCTGCAAGATCCCAGGTCAGGGTTCGCTCCTGCCAGCCTCCACTTGATTCCACCCCCCTCAATCTCGGAATCTCCCAACTTGGGGCAAATATATTCTACCAAAAGCCCTGGTTAAACTACCACATCCTTTTATCAGTCCCTGGAAGGGTCGGGCCTGGTGCACCAGGAGCCTAGGGATGGCCGCCCTTTCCCAGCAAACCTCCCTCGGGACACGTCCTCTATTTTTTTTTTTTTCTTTTTCTTTAATTCTGTAGTTCAGAGACAAGTTTCCTAGACCCCCGGCAGTCTCAGACAAGTCTGTCTCCTACCAGGTAGGGGCATCTCCCCAGGCTTCAGGCCTCGGGGCACACTGAGCAGCCAGGATTCTCTCCGGACCTCGGGGGCTCGGCACACGTCCCCTCCCACCTGGGACCGGCCTCTGCTCCCCGCCCAGGCCCCTCCCGCTCCGCCCGAGCCCAGCAGGCCCCGCAGTCCGCCGAGCCCCGGGGCAGGCCTCCCACCCCCCAGCTGCCCCGGCAACGCCGCTCGACCCGAGTGCCCCCCGAGCTTCCTCTCACTGCGCCCCCAGGAGTGGCCGTCCACGCCCGGGCTCCGGAGGGGAGCGCCCCGGCCTCGAGAGCCCGGCGGAGCCGGCGGGCCGGGCTCACTCACCCCTCAGCCCGGGAGGCGGGGGAGCTGCTGCGGCGGCTCCTCGGGCTGTGCCTCTCCTCCCCCCTCCCGGCCACCGCCGTCACCGCCGCCGCTCAGCCTCCGGCTTGCTCCCGGCGGGCCCGGGCCCGGCTCCGCTTCACCTCGTCCCCCACTCTGGTCGCCGGAGCCCGGTGTCCTGCATTGACCCGGAAGCAGCTTTCCCGGCCCAACAACAACACGTGACCCCGCCGCACGTGTCACGTCCGCTGCGTGAATGGGAGGGGGCGCTGGAGGAGCAGGTCCTCCCAACCAAGCCAGGGTTGCCATGGCGACAGAGATGCCTGTCAGGGCCAGAGCTTCAGCAAAAACACACCCTACCTCCTCCTGCTCTTCCCTCTCCCTTCCACGAGGGAAGGGACACCCCCAGGTGCAAAAGAGTACAGATTGTCACTCCCGAATGAATGGGGGCAGGTCAGAGCAGAGCCTCCTTTAGAAAGGAGCTTTGGACTGAACCTCTCCACACCCACCTGGAATCTTGGCCTGGCTTTGGCACTAATGAACTCAATGACACTGATAGAGTCATTTCCTCTTTCTGGCTTTAGTGGCCTCATCCATACCAGAAGAGACCTGACTGTAGTATCATAAGATCCCATGCTCTTAAGCATCATGGTGTGGCAAGATGTGGGGCAGTCTGAACTTCTGTGTCCTCTTCCCATACCTGTGGCACCTAAAGCTTCCAACACCAATGTAGTAATCACAGCTTTCATTTGTTTAGCACCTTATGGCTACAGCCAGTGCACATATGCAACTTTTGATTTTTACAACTCTCCAAAGAATATGTTATCGAATTGAAAACTGAAGTTCAGAAGATAAGTATTTGCCTAAGACCTTGCAGTTAGTAAAAATGACCAGGCTGAGATATGAATGCAGATCAGGCTGACATCAAAGAACATACACTTCCCATTATGACATGTTATTGCTTCAGCTCCATACACATTATATCTGACTGTTGGGATGTGGTTGATTGCATACTTTCTTATACATTTCTTCTATAGGATCATTCATAGAATAGGAATGATGCTGTCTGATCCTGATGAGAACTCAGCCTTGTACGGACATGTCAACATGTCAACATGTTGAAGAGGAATATATACATTCATAGATGTGTGTGTTTTTCTGTGGTGTGTGTTAGTGAGGTGGTGGGGGAATGTGACATGCATCCTGGAGAGGGAAAACAAAATTCTTCAGGGAGGCCCAATGGCCTCTTACTATCACCAGTTCCTGAGGACTTGCTTTGAACCTTGTTTTGCTTTGTCTTACCTGGTAGGTAGGGCTTACAAGGGTTGAGAGGGGAAAGTAAATCCAGAAGGAACTAGCTAAAGAAAACCGCTCTGATAGAGGGGAGGATGAACCAAGCAATTTGGCTGACATGGCTCACATGGAGTGCTTTCCTCCTCCTTCTGCAAAGGATAAAGTATCTTTCTGTCACCTTAAGAATTAATGACTTTGGGTCCACTGGGATCAGTGACATGGCCATAGCCAAAAGTAGCCCCGGAAAAATGAGAAAATCAGAGTGAAATATACAGAGAGGAGAAAGAACTGGGGGGATTACCTGGTTATTCTGTTGACAGACTTACTTGTCATCTTAGAGACCTTTGAGGACACCCCAAAATGCCTAAAAGTCTAGATGCCTTGTGAAGAATTAGGAAGAACTATAAATCATTAGGGGTTTTTTTGGCAGGATGTAACTGGGGATTGAACTCAGGGAAGCCCAACCACTGAGCCACATCCCCAGCCCTGTTTTGTATTTTATTTAGAGGCCGGGTCTCACTGAGTTGCTTAGCACCTCGCTTTTGCTGAGGCTGGCTTTGAACTTACAATCCTCCTGCTTTAGCCTTCTGAACTGCTGGGATTATAGGTATGTGTCACCGCTACAGGCAAGTCATTACTGTTAACAAATAATACATGCAAGGTATATAAATACATACATGAGTACTGAATGTGACAGGGTGTGATTGGTTATGCATTTGTTTCTTTGAAATATCCTTTAGTCATTTTTCTCTTTTGTACCCATCTCTCCCCTAAGAGAGCAAACTCCTAAAGACAAGATCAATGTCTCTACCTGTCTCCTGTCCATATCCCCAAGACAGCCAGAATTATCTTTCTAAATTTGTATCTGATTATGCAACTCCCTGGAGCTTAAAACCCTTCCAAGATTCCCTGTGGCACTTAGGATAAAATCCACAATCTTTAACTTGCTTCTCAAAGTTCTTTATAACCTAGATAGACCCTGCTGATTTCCCAGCCTTGTCTCTTGCCTCTGTCCATTTGATTTGATAGCCTCATTAGTCATATGGGGCTATTCAAATTTAAACTAAGTTAGAATTTCATTTCCTCAGTCACATGACACTAGTCTCATTTTGGGTGTGACTGGTGGCTGTCGTATTAGATAGAGCACAGTTCTACAGGATGATGCTTTTCTATATTCTCAAATCTCCATGTATGATATTTCTATAGGAATTCCTCTTACTAAGCCATTTGCTTGAAACATTCTTCTTACTCCTTGAGATGGAAAATTGTATATAATTGCTTATTTTCTTGTTGACTTCTTGATGAGTACGTGAACTGCAGTGAAGGCAGGAGCTAAATCTATGGGATTCATCACTGACTCTCCATTATTTCTAAAGTGCTGTCATTTAGAGGAAGGAAAAAGTAAATATCAAACAAAATTTAAAGGAAGCAACAGAAAGGCAAATTCTGGTTATTTTATTAAAAACTGTTTCTAATTTGATCTTTTTGACCAACAAGCAGCAATTTCATATGATTCAACACAACAATAAGGAAGAACTTGGAGATGCTTTAGTCAGTTCTAGTGAATTTGCTATCATTGGAATAGGTTAATCAAAGGCCGAATCTATGAGATTAATGTATGAATAATTCCTGGATCACCTAGACTGATTGACTAATCTTTACTGAGATTCTAAGCTCAACTGATTCTCTAATTCAGGGTTCACCATGACCTAAAGACAATCATAGCCTCTTTCTGAGTATTTACTGTGCCAGATGCTGCTTGAGATACTTACTTCCTTTAACCTCACAATGTTCTTATGAAGTATATTTGGTACTATAGGGTTTTCCAAGTGAGACCCAGCAATATACAGCTAAAGGGCACAGACCAAATTCATGTTTAGATCAGTCTGACATCAAAATCTGAGTTCCTAAAAACCCTGTAACATTGGGACATAGTTCTATTATGAGGTTTCAGACAGACATTTGCAGGTCCTCTTAACTCAATAAGTGCTTATTTTATAATAATTGTATGTCTTGCACTTTATAGCTGAAGGCTCTTCCCATGTAGACAAAGGGATAAGGACAAAATCTTGTGAGAGTGCAATGTGAATGTCAGTACACAGATAGGAAGACGGGGAAAGGAAAAAGGCAGCTGCTTATCATGAAAGAATGATGGTTTGGGAAATTAAAAGACTTTAATTCCTGTTCTGGTTGTTTCACTAACCAGCTGTGTCTCTTGAACATTTTGGCCTCAAACCATTATCTACAATTAACTACCATGATTGACCACCTGAAATTATGTGTAATATATTATATATGTTACTATTATCCATACTTTACACATATGTATTTTAAAGAGGAAGTATCATAGATTCCACCAGATTGATAAAGAAATCATGACCCAGGAAAATGTAGAATACATCACCCCTTTAAATTTGTTCATTTTCAGATTCTGTATTTTATTTTTGTCAACATTATTGACACATTTTTTTTTTCAGGAAATGGGCTGTTACGCCAAGCTTAGTGATTAATCAATTTTTAAATTTTAAACTGAAAGTTATACTATTTAGAAAGTTGTCAGTATTTCCTACTGGACAGAATACAATCTACAAAAAAACAGTTTGGTTTTCTGCAGTTTCCATGGATAGCATTAAGCTTAACAACAAGCTTAATTTTCAAGAAGGCCTTACATTTATTAAAATTATTTTGTAACAAATAGCCAACAAATATATGAAAAATGTTCAACATTCCTAGCCCTCAGGGAAATGCAAATCAAAACTACATTGAGATTCCATCTTACTCCAGTCAGATTGGTAATCATAAGAATACAAAAAATAATAAATGTTGGTGAGGATATGGGTGGGGGGAGTTACACTCATACATCGTTGGTAGGGCTGCAAATTAGAATAACTACTTTGGAAAGTAGTTTGAAAATTCCTAAGAAAAAAAAAAGGAATAGAATCACCATGTGACTCAGCTTTCCCACTCCTCGGTATTTATCCAAATGATCTAAAATCAGCATACTGTAGGGATCCAGCCACATCAATGTTTATAGTAGCACAATTCATGGTAGTCAAGTTGTGGAACCAGCCTAAGTGCTCCTCAAAGAATTAAACTGTGGAATTTGTATGTAAATGGATGGGACTAGAGAACATCATGCTAAGTGAAATAAGCCAGACTGAGAAAATCAAGGGAAGAATGTTTCCTCTCATATGTGGAAGCTAGAGCAAAATAAGGGGGGAAAGGGGAAGTTAGCAGATCTCATAAGAATAGAGGGAAGATCAGTGAGTAAAAGAAGATTGAGTAGGAGAGGAGGAAGGAAAAAGGAGAAAGGGCAGGAAATGTGAAATGGATTTGACAAAATT